TCCAGACCCACACAGCGAGGAGGAGAGAGGGGTAATGGCTGAAAAACAGAAGTACTCTTGAGCCCTAAGAAGTGCAGGCTCATCCTCCTATCTTGTGGATTGATTTTTATGGTTAGAGAAAGGTGCAAGTGCTTTACCTCCATTAAAATACCTCTCTAAGCAAAATACATTCAATAACATAAATAATTAAACACTATAAACAAATGAAAAAGAAAACAGCCTAATAGCAGAGGATGTAGGACACTTGTACTGCATTAAAATAGATCAGGTCTGAAGTGACTGAATTATGCTTCCTCAGAGGGATATCGGTATTGTGAGGCAAACTCTGCCCAATCCAGATAATACAGCCAAAATTCTCCTGCCAAGGACGGTTCCTCTGAGACTGTGTCTCAAGTAGGGCGGGGAAGGTGGAGAACATGACACTGAGGGCACAACTAAGCTGCTCTCAAAGTTTGTCTGGGCCATCTGCAGCGTATCTTGGTGGCAATTTACACTGGTGGACGTTGCTCAAGAGTCTTTCAATATTGTCTTACATCCATGTATTGTCTTGCATCCCCCAGGAACGGCTTGTGAAAGGATGTTCAGCTTTCCATCGGTCCAGTCACATTTCACTACATTAAAACACGGGTGGTTTGTGGAAATGGCACTGCGTTGTGTAGGTGCCTTTTGCAGCCTCTCTGAGACTGATGCAGCTTCATTAGTGTAAGAGCAGTTTCACCTGTGACTTTGGTGGAAGAACGTTTTTCCCAAAGCTCCAGGTCAGTGTCTGCTCTGTTACTGAAAGGCTCTTATTGACTTAATGGCTGGCGTCATGTTTGGAACTTGGTGAAGCTTTAGGTTGTGCATGCACACCCCTTCCTTCCCCCCCCCCCGGCCCGATTTTAGGCGTGCTGCAAGAAGGGGGAAGAGGAGACGGGGAGAAAGATGATGAGGTGATGATGAATGAGGTTTAAATTAATTCCTTTGTTACGTGTAGTGCTGTGAGGAGTGGTTTTTAAACATTTTCAGTGAAGCACGATGTGCTTAATATTTTTTCTGATCTTGAGGTTGACCTAGGAAATTAAATTACGCCGAAGCTGAGATGTCACTGCGGTACCTTTTAGCGCCTAAGAGCTGAACTAGAAAACCTTCCTTCCCTCGCCGTCTGTAACGTTTTGAGTGCCACCGCGTGGTGAAATTCTGCAATAATTTTTTTTGTAACTTGCAGTTATTTAAATCGGCATGTCACCATTTGATAACCTGGAGCTTTCCACCCACTGGTGAACTCGTGTTGTTAATTAATTATGCACTCGACTTAGGTTTTCTTTCTCTTCTCCGAACTGTGCAGCGTAGGTGATGCCATTTCCTTTGCCTCCTGCTGTGTGAAGTCTCCCGACATCGCGACAGAAAAGGCTCGCGTGCTCGGTTGAGGAGCTGAGGGTCATTCTGGATTGATTTATTGGTACAGGTCTGTTTATTCACATGACCAGGCTGACATGAAGATAGATGTTATGTCCTTTATGTGTCAGTTTGGCGTATTGAAACTCAGTGATGGGAGCTATTACTACAGGAAGATTGCAAATTCCCGATCTATCGGTATGAAGAGGCAGCAGGAGAGAGGATCCTTATCCGCAGGACGTCAGCTGTCTGGAGACACCAGTTAAGGGGGCATTAGAAACTCAGACCCGCTGCACTTCTGACCTTATAATCAGAGCTGCTTAGGTAATTGTCTCACTGCTAATTTAATGACAGTGAAGTTGACATTGCCCTTACTTCACGTTCATCAAAATACCAAGTGTTAATATTTATGTATTTTTTTCCCCCTGATCAGAAGTGACAATTACATGATTTGTATTTATATACATGGTAGATCACAATTCACAGGGGGAGGCAGCACTTCGGTAGTTGAAAAACCTGACAGAATTTTAGGTATGCAATCTTTTCGGGACTGATGTTGATAAAAATTTTCAAAACTAGACATGGATTGAAAAAAACTAGCTCCAAGTTTAGTTTATATTATTCAGTTAGATAATTTGAGAGAGAAAGGGTTGGTACTTGTGGAACAGAAGGAAGTGTTGGCAAGAAGGAAGGTGATAATATAATTAACCCCTATGAGACAGACACAATGAGCGGTTGTGGGAGAAGTATGGAAATCATAATTTGCCATAAACCCAGTCTCTCTACTGAGTCTATAATGTTTAGTATCCAGTAACGATGAGTGTTAAGTTCTTAAGCTAAGGATCGAGACTTAAGAGGTCACAGATGAAGTGGTTATTTTGTAAGAAATCATTTCCTTTATTCATTTTCTGTAGGAAGCACACACTGGTGAACAAGTTTGATGTTTTCCCCTACGATTTATACAAAAGCATTTAAAATTGTGTCACAGACCAAAGCTAATACACATTCATTGCATCTTTTATTTTGACGGAAGGCATTCATTACGGATTCCTGTTGGCAAGTTTTGCCTTCATGCTCTTGCAGAGTCTGGCCCCAGCCTGTGCATGGTGGTCCTCTGAGGCCTCCTGCTGCTGCTGAAGGTAGTGCAGTTACGGGATTATTTGAAAGCCAGGAGCTCCGCTTGGGTAGCATACATCAAACAAGGAAGAATACGTTCCTTTCGGAGCATAATTCAGGTAGTTGAGTGGCCTGTAGAGAGATATAAGAATACTCACTCCAATAGACATCCTTTGGCCTAAATAACTGCAGAATACCAGAGCTCTCGGCATAAACCACACAAGAAAAGCACCCAAGTATTGTTGTTCCCATTTTAAGAACTGCGAAATTTAATAAATCACTTTAAGGTCATAAAAGAACGAGGGATTGAGAGGTTCCTGGTCATCCTCTTTAAGCAAAAGAACATCCATTCTCCAACTGTACACCATGAAAGAAAGGTTGACTTCTGTTTCAGATGGTTTCTCAAGAAAGTTGTCATTTATCCATACTTGTGTGTAACCTTACGAACACTGCTAATAATACACAGAGGAGGGCAAAGCTTGAGGAAGAGATCAGATTTGCCAGTTTTTATTATTCCCCAGGTTCCTTAGGGGATTACAGAAATGACTATTTCAAATGTCATGGATCAAAATGAAATATAAACATCTTCATAAAATTTTTCCCTTAAAATGCATTATAATGCTCTGGACTAACCTTTGAAGGGAGATCCACAAGGGTCATATATAACATGGCAGTGGATGAAGGGGCTATTCCTTTCTATTGAAGTTGAAAAAAATAGAGTGGAAGAAACAGTATCAAATTTAAACATTTTTATGCATTCCTATCTCCATTTGCCTGCACTCATTCCAATTTGAAGCAAACATTCTCTTTCCC